TCGAAAGGTATTTATTACGAAAATATCATGAAAGAAACTTTAAGAGACGAAATTCTGCATCGAAACTCATTCAAAAACATTCTGCCAAACTATTTCTARAGCATGGACTTGTGTGTACAGTTACGTTTTTTTATCGAATTGGTCTTTGAATATTTCCTAAAGTGAATTTTGCTTTCAGTTGAGTACTATCGTTTTTTTATGGGTAAATTTAAAACCGAAGAAAATGATTTATTGTAAATTATTTTCTCTTATTTGAATAAGACGATTTATACACTGTCAGAAATATAAATCAAACTGTAATAAAAACAATCCCGATTTACTCTCAAACTACTGTCAAATTATGSTAAACTATGAATTTTTTYCCGTGTTTCAATAATCACTTTTACTCCTGGCTCTCGCAACCGCATTCTCTGACGAGGTCTTCCAGGGCTTCAACRTATGGCTTTTTTCTAGCTTTTGACCCCTCTATCTTCAAAGAAAGAGTCTCACATACAGCTTTYAGCTTGTCTAACTTCAGGCTTGACAGAGTGCCCTGATGAAYAAGAAGACAAATATTGAGTTGCTCAACTTCAATTGGGTGTTGTGGTGGCTCGATATTACTGCAGACTTCATCTCTAAGATGTTGTCGCRCAACCTCAGCTTCCCATGCYTCTACATCCTCGTTCATTAGAACTGTCCCAGTTTTCATTTGCCTCATCTTCGAATTGTGTCTTGAAAAAAAACTCTTAATTTGTTGGGACGTTTTCCATTCTGAAGGTTTGAAGTAAGGCTTGCCATTTTCATCGAGTTTTCTTTTCATTTCGCTTGCAACAGAAGATGGTTCAGGTTTGTTGCCAGTCCTTTCTCCTTCGTTGAATTTTTCAATGAGGAAACTCTTGACATTTTCTTCAAAACGCTTGCGTTCTTTAGTGGTTTTCAGAGCCCAGCCTTTCTGCCTGGATACTTCGGGAAGTGAACCTTCCTCGGGAGTGAAATCAGGAGCTCTTATATGTGGCTGGTTGCTGATACCTACTACTCTGTCTGCCCACTTCTTCCTTATAGYATCATATGCAGACATGGACTCCAACTCTTTGACATGGTCTCCAGCATCCATGTGTGCTTGAGCTTCTTCTTCAGTCTTGAATGTCAGTATGCAGCTGTTGTCATTACATCCAAATATCTGAGTTGAACCAGTTGTACCACGAGTTGAAYTTACAACACCTGGTCCCTTTTGACGAGGGGCAAAAGGTAGGATTACCTTCAAGGGATTGATGGTTTGCCGATTGCTTTGGAATTCGGATGATGGTAAAAGTACACCGTCTCCAATCTTGTAAGCTTTCCACATYCTTACTCCTCCTTCCTCGTACTTGAAATTGTACAACAAACTGATTCCCGGGATTTTTCTTTGTGTGTCATCAAGATCTTTTGAGTTGTCAACTTCAACAACGGCAACTCTGCATCCAGTCAGGCCACCATGGGATTCTATAGCAGTTTTCATTTGTTCTGCTGTGACAACATCATGCTTTTCGTTAACATAACGGCGAATGTGCGCTTTCATCGGTGCCGTCTTGCGGTCACAGATGTCCTTACCAGCTTGTGGATCTGAGAAATCATACCTTATGGCTGACACACCAGTGCGATTAGCTATGTCTGAAAGGTAGAGTATAAGAGGACCATTGTGATAACAGCCGGCATTGTCAGATCGCAGATATGCTTTGGTGATTGAAGGGTATTCATCTTTGATGGTTTTGAAAAGATGGTCTAAAATAGCTGCTACTGCATAGTTGTTCTGCACACAGCTGTTGAATATATGAACGAAACATTCCACTTGATACTTTGGTTCGCTCTTGGTCACAACCGCACTGACATGCCAACTAAGTCCACGTTTACCAAAGAACTCGGCCATGCTTTCCCGGTATTTCAGTGGGAGAAACTTCATTGCCCAGTCTATGACGATTAGACATGTCTCATCGCCAAGCTKATTCATGGCATCATGCTTTGCCTCCTCTTGCAGTACGGTTCGCAGTAAGTGGGMTTTCCAAGAACGGATGGCGTCATTGCACTGGGTAAAGTCAAACTTCAWGTTATTCTTTTGCCATTCATTCATTGACGTAGAATTTATTTTCTTCTCAATTTCCTTGAGCATGTGTTCAAGTGTTTGACATCGATCACATTCAATGTCGTGCTCGTGCGAACATCCACTTTGGTACTCCTCCYTGGCTGGATCACTTAGTGCATATGTGGAACAATGATCTCCACAATTCTCTTCTCTTCCAATGTGKGTCCGATAATCCGTTTTCAGATATCTCTTTACTTCCTTGATCTCGTTTCGTACTTTTTTTGTCCAGTCGTTATCTGCTCCATAATCACTCAGTGTCTGGACAATGTTGGTCAGGTTATCAATAGCCTCAGTACCCTCTGCAGTGATGTTGTCTAGTCCTTGTAGRGACTTTTGCATTGAAGCACTACAAACCTCTAAGATGCGGTATAACGATCTCTCCCCAGCAGACTCAAAATTCTGTTGTTTACAATATGACTGGTATTGTTCAATTATCCTTGTAGGTATCAATGTTCTGACAACAGCTGGAATAGAAATATGTTTGCCTGAGTCCATCTTCATAGTTTTCGTCCCAAATGCCACGTCCTGTAGAAACTCTGGTCTTGACACAAAATCGAGAAAATGGTCAACTTTTGAGGGATCCAATCTTGTTCTGAAAATTGTGTTAACTTCTACAGGTTGTCCCTTTCCTKATTTTGTTGCGTGATCCCGTGCTTGATCTATCTGCCACTTTGTTAAGCCTGGTATCAGCGTCTGCAGTTCAGATCTAGTAAAATCATTCGCAAAAATGGACAGAATTTGGCGCTTGCTTTGCCATGTTTGTGCCTCACTGTGTGCTTGGACGAGTGCTTGAAAAAGGTCCGATTCTATGTCAAACCTTTTCATGAGATCTTTTTCAGCTGACAGTAACTGTGTTTCTTGTCTGAGGGAGCTCCACAAGGYATCCTCTTGCCCTGGACTCAAAACATTTAACATACTTGATAACATCTCCTTTGCTTTTCTAATGTAATATTTCTGCTGAGTGGATGATATATCGCTCCATTCTGTATTTAATGTAGACTGTAGGGGACTCACGCTACCATCAGTCAGACAATTCATTGCGTCATTCAGGATTCTACGTTTATATTGCTGCTCCTCTTTCTCATCTTGCCATATGCTAACTTCTTGTTCTGGTAGGCTAGAAGACTGAGATCCTGAAGACAACCAATCTTCACTGTCTTRGCTTTGAAGCTCACTCTCCTTTAGGCATGAATTATYAGTAGTAGAACCAGTCTAGGACAAAAATATTTTATCAGTTAAAACACGGCGGTKTTTGTTTGTTTTGCTAAATTAATCWAAGAAAAAGTGGGTTTACTTTGCGTGCAGTTGTGTAAGTTGGACAGAAATTGCTACTTTATCATCAGTGTCACTCACATCTTCAGGGGCATCCGTATCAGCTTGGTAGTCAATACCACTTGTAGAAGCTCTGACAACTTCTGGGAGGGTTTCAGATGAAGATGCCTAAACGAGCAGGTAAGCATTATTAAAAACAAAATACTCCAAGCATGTTTCTTACAAGAATCCTTGCACTCGTTGGTATCCCTGTGTGCCTTTATAACAATACTTCTAGCTATTTTCGGTGCTAGCATACACATGAATTTTATTATTACAACAAATAATGCAAATGTAGGTCCTAATTAAAAAAAATTAATCCTTTCAATATCATAGAGTATTTTACTTGATTGTTGTCATTTGTTATTTAAAAAAATAATCATACCTTTGCTGTACTTGCAGAACTTGTGGCTTTGTAATGACTTTTCCTACATGCTGTGCATATTACTATATTTGAATAAAAGCACAATTGTTTTAGTGACGTCACAGAAGCCTTCTAAAATATGCCGACCACGGTGTTCTATTGCATTATAAGATCATAATGTGAATTTTGTGCAGTAATTTGACATTTCTTATTTCTTTATTTGCTTTTTTCATAAAATGACATTTTTGACATAGTTGTGACACTGCTATCCCCTATAGCACCCATAATCCTCTGCGTTAAAACAATAGGCTGTTTGCATGTCATATAATTATGCAATCATTGTAGAAAGGTCAATTACAAGCATTGCTTGAAAATAAAGCATAAGTCAAGCTGTGACTTTCTAATTTTTTGCATCATCGTTTTTACTRGAGTCATGTTCGATATTTTTCAGTGGCACGGGTGAGTGGGGTAATAAATAATGGAAGGACTTGAAGAATACAAACCGTACARAAGACTTATTATATTAGAATTACGAGCCCTTATTGTATGCTATCAGTTTGCTTATCAGTGCAATTTTGTAATAGAGTAAAAGATACCTACCAGAGCCAATGGGTAAAACAATATCATGAATGTCAAGTATCTCGCTGGATGTCTGTGCATTGACACGCCTGATGTTCTTTAAATTTCTTYGAATGCCCTTATGTAAGGGATGGCTGCATGTCGTCTTTCTGCGTCCTGGCCATCCAACAGTTAGATCGTGGCGATGCTTTGGGCACACAGTCATTGAAAACGTTTCCGCATTCAACTTCAAACCAGCACGGTTTAGAAGAAGGTCTTTTTCTGTCAACTTTGATTCATCGTCAGCTCGTCGTTTAGTGCTGACACCAAGCGAAGATAAATATGATAGCATGTTTGTATTGCAGCTGTCCAAGGGAACAATTTCCAAACATTGTTTGAATATATCGCATTCATTGCTAGAAGAGCCAAATGAACATCTAAAAGTAGATGCTGYACTCATGATCGCAAAGTCGAAATGGCAAGGATTTCTTCAAGCTGCTCACATTACACGGTAATATTACGTAACGAACGTCAATTCATTTCCGGCTAACATAATCATACACTGGAAAGGTCGGAGGTCAAGTTTCAAAAAATTATTTTACAATGCTTGCTTTTTTCTGCAATAATGCCATTGAGGCATTCAGAAAAAAATCGGTTTTTGTGGAAGAGAAATAATAAATACAATTTACTAAGTATTATTACTAGGCATTTAACGCGTGCTATTGTTTTGACGTTGTCTCTTTTAGTAACTAGTATGGTTACAACCCGATGTTTTCTTTTGTGACAATCTAATCTTATTATCTTTGATGACTCAAATATATATTGAATTATATTTTATAAGACAATGGCATATAAATTCAAACTTTTTAGTAGTCGTTTCCAGCAAAACTTGTCTCATTTGTATTCTAATGAGCTCGGGTGAATTCAATTAAAATCATGTAAACAAACCAACTTTGGCCGTTTCGTACTCTGTTGTTTTTTAAGATCCCGCGGATCTGTTTTACCTTTTTAAAGAGAAGCCCTTAAATTACTATCYATCAAAATGTAAATGAAATAATCTGCCCCGTTTTCGAGAAAAGCTATATCAAAGTTATGTAAAATTACGTCCTTGTTACAATTTCGACCAGATAGTGAGCTAAAACACGGCCCGCTAAGGTAAGCGTTTGAAAATAGAATGAAACAACTTTATAGATGAGGTCTTTAGATGCCATTCCTTGCACTCCAAGTCGAAAAAAATAGATGCAAGTGATATTTGTTGTTGTTTTGGCCGTCGAAAGTCGACAATAAATTGCTTAAAGATTTGGTGCTTCGGGGGCCAAAATTAAGGGGGGTGGTGATCTCGGAAAATATTTATCCCTTGAAGCTCATATTTTGCCATTCTTATTTCTATCGACTGCCTATCAAATGGTATAAGTTTCATGTAAATTGGCTGACCCCCATCTTTTGACCCTGCCTGGTTTTCTCAGACAATGACTCTTGATATCTCATCTACTATGATAATCTTTAAATCAGATAACATAAATCTTAGCTGTGTTCTCTTTTGGTCTGACATTGGTTTAACTACATCTCCAGCTTCAACTGGAATTGACAAGGCTGAATGTATAGTAGTACCATTAATATATATTGCAGCAACAGGCAATTCATATTTTTCATTGTATTTCTGCACCATGATAGAGCAATGCTATAGGCAGCCCTTTGCATAGTATTTAATGACCTAACATTTTCACGTAATGTGTCGTCAGATATTTCAGTTGGTTGTGTATATGCACTTATTGATTGTGGTTCTTGGGAAGTAGAATTAGATGATGACACTAAGTCAGTTGGTAATTGTTCATGGAACGATTCTTCGACTGGTAAAGAACCCTCTACTTCTTGTTGTTCTAATCGTAAGTCTGCGTTTTCTTGGTCATTTGTAATGTAATGTTCCCTCCGTTGTCTCTTAGATGTTCAAGGGCTTCTGTTATATATTCTGAATGAGGGTCGAAAATTGATCTATTTGCCTCAACAATTTCTTGTACATCACACTCATAGAACTTTGATGCATATGATTGGTCTTCACCCAATAGCTCATTTTCATTTCTCCAGGGATAATAAAGCATTGATAAATAATGAAAGTAACGCTCTGGTTCTTTTGTCTTGCTTGGTGTATGGTATCTAATGACAGCTTTGACTTTCCTGCATTTCATTTTTTCTTTACCATTCATTAATTTTATCTGTGGTGGAAGGGAAGAGATATCTTCTGAATCTAATGCTGTATTTGTATTCTATCATCCGTCAAGACTTCTGGTTGTGCATCATTCGTTTCTATACTATTTATAATAATATGCTGCAAATTTAGCTAGACAAAGTTTATTTACAGTTTCATACTATAACGCTCAATGATGTTAGATTTGAATATCTCAGTACTGTCATCATCAAGTCCTTCTAGCTCTTGCATTGATTTTGTGCCACGTATTCTTTTTTTCTATACTAACAAACACAGTACCTGGGAAGATCTTTCTAAGCTATATATACAAAACACACATTCTTGTGCACTTACTTCTCGAGAAGACAGAAATGCAGCACCTATTTTTCTTAAACAATCAGCAACACCCATGCTTTCAGATCTTGCCTCTTTTGCAGCATTCAGAATAGCTTGAGAGCACTGTGTTTCATCTTTAGTCATATATGAGCAGACATATGTGATACATTTGTAATGGTTGAAGACTGGTTGCAGATCAACATTTGCAGCAAATCCTTTGATTCCAGCCACAAAGTAATTGTTAATAAAACAACTATCTATGGGTCTCTTGAGGTGTAGATCATAATCTGAATCAGGTGAAATTGACATACCAAGAGAATCAAAAATATCTGCTTCAGTAAGATTTGGATCATAATTTTCTGGTTTACTGGGGTTTAGTACACTATTTATAGTTTCTTTGACTGATGTAAGGATATCCTTTTGTTTTTTTAACTTTCCTTGTTTTATCTCTTCACTAAGGTAGTGGTTCTGCTATTATTGTTCTGTTTGTAAAAAACAAACCAATGTTTTGTTTGATATAATCAACTAGGAATGCCATATTATCAGCAGAGTCTCTTTTAAATAAGTCAGATTTTTTTGTATTGTACTTCAATGACTGCATCATATATGTTGATCTTATTTGGCATGTTACAGTTGTTTTGCATTACTAATTCATCATAAAATAACTAGCATGTTCATACAGAGCTTCTCGTTTCTTTGCATGCAAGTATGTACAACAAGTAATGAGGGAAAAATATTCCATAAATGATCATAATAAACTGTTTGTTTATTTGGCTTAATGTCACCAGTTGATTCATTAGAAAAATGATTTATTGCAGTAGTTGATACATTCGTCAACATGAAAAATATTTATTGTCCGATTACCCGCTCTATGTGTTGGAGAAACAATAGTGAGTGGTGCAAACATTTCATTTGATTCTGTAATATGAATATTTACATTTAATGCTTCAGCAACAGCTTGTATAATAAGTGCATCAGCCCATGTTCCCTGAAGAGACATTATTCAGGTATCTAAGCCATGAACTTTCTGTATTGCATTCAATAAATCTCTCTGGATTCTCTCTCATATATATTACACCAGCAGAGCGAAGATTCATGTGATAGTTACTATTACCAAATAACTGGTGTGAAACAGATCTAAACAAACAATCACTTCCACCACCAACATCTGTTGGTTGTAATCCATGCTCAGCTAACCTTGACTGCAGTAAATTGGTTGGTGGAATGCAAGCAACTAATTGCAATTCATTAATGTGTGTGACAGGACCAGGATTCAACTCTACATCTCCAGATAACTATAACAACATTTGCAAAAAATCATAACATTTGATGCACACCATAACTGGCCCAGGATTTTTCTCTATATCTCTACAAAGCCAGAAATAGCAATAATTCTTTCTGTGATTCCTCTTTTTGTACAAATAGAATACAGATCTACTATGACTATGAATATTTGAAGAGATGTGTGAACTTTCCTTACTTTCCTTACTGTGATATTTATATTTATTATAAAAAGATTTGTTTACACATTTTTCATTTAATGTTGTATCATTCCTTGGTTTACACAGACATCTCATATCTTCATCAAGTAGTAATTTTGTCCCTATGTCTTTTAACAGAATGAATCTTTGATGACTTTGGTGCCCTTGCAATGTATTTTCTCGTGGCTTTCGTTATACGTCGACTTTTGCTGTATATGCGAGTAAGCTGTTTAAGAGCGACTGTCCAGAAATATCGAGCATTGTCCGGCCACAGTGAAAAATTCAAATTCCTTGAAACTTAGTTTCTGGACACTTTTCTGTGAGCCTACTAACGTGGTCTAATCGGTTTTTTGATCTACGTTGAGAAATTTGAGTTTTTGAGCAAAATTGGTTTTACCCCGATTTGGTCTACAATTAGCATATGAGACCGCTAAAACTTGCAACTTTTTAAAAGTTATTTCTTCAATCAATTTAAATATTTTTGCGCAATTTTTTTACATAATCCGAAAGAATATCTCCTAAGGAGATGCCCGGAATCGGTTTTGGCTTTTCAATGTATTTTTAACGGGGAGGAAAAATGACTTTTGCTTGACCGGTTTTCAAACCTTGATTTGAGTTGAAATTTCCGAACACATTTTTCTCCATGTGGCCATTCTCCAATTTTTACCAAACTCACCCTGAATGAGGTTGAAATATCAATATAAACCGAGGTAGAAAATATTTCTGGGTTTTTACACTGGTAATGCGATAGGAGCTATCAAATATCACGATTTTTTGACTTGCAATATGCAAATTAGCAGTTTGTTTACGTTTACCCAGATACATCATTCGAATGAAADTTTTTCTCAAACATCGAAGTCAATCAAATATATCATCTGATCGAATTAAATGAAGGAATTTTTAGTACATTAGACACTTTCAAACAATAAAAGCGATTGTATCTTGATCTTTATCCTCATATTTCCTGTTGACGCTTTCTGTGACGATCCTAATAGTTGGCCACTCAAAAATTCTGGAAAGGGAGATATGGTATGGACAAAATTTGTGGCCTTGCATGCCAAGAGCTAGCACTGTTATAGCACTCTGCCAACGCTCCCATTAACACTTCGTCAACACTGCCTCATCATCTTTTGACATCGCAGTAGAGACATATCTCCATAGCTGATRGCTTACGGCACAGGTCGTATATTAGACGGGGTATCAGGGACTGGTGYATTTTTATTTCCCTGGACAGRTTGACAGTTTGGCCCTGAGCTTCCAAATGCACAAAATTAYATGACTCATTCAAACTGCAAACATAAATTCACATGACCCAYCCATTCTTATGAAACAAAATACTATATTTTCAAAAT